CAATCTAGAAGATTTGGTTGTGTCTCAAGTCAATCTCTTTTAAGATATAAAAGAGAGAAGCAAACAGAGAGACGGGGGCCTCATACCACCAAGAAACAACCACCGGGAGCATAGTGAGTCCTTTGGACCTGGGGTCCCTGCGCTGAGACGCACCTCCACCAGGGGAAAACAGATGACAAGGACTTCCCTCTAGAGCCGACAGAGAGAGAGCCTTCCTCTGGAACTGACGCCCTGAATTTGGACTTCTAGCCTGCTAGGCTGTGAGAGAATGAATTTCTCTTTGTTAAAGCCATCTACTTGTGGTATTTCTGTTATAGCAGCACTAGATGACTAAGACAGTCCCCTTCCACTAAAGCCATTCATTTCTTTGAAAGACTCTAGGGAGAAAGCCTTTTAATTTCCGTCATTCTCATCTCTTTGTATAAATGTTGTCGCTATTGTTGTGTGCTGTTGAGTCAATTCTGACTCATAGTGACCATATATGACAAAGTAGAACTCCCCATAGGATTTCCTAGGCCGTAATATTTATGGGAGCGGATTGCCTGGTCTTTTCTCCTGCGGAGCCACTGGTGAGTTCGAATTGCTGACCTTTTGGTTACCAGCCAAGCACTTAACTGTTGCACCGGCAGGGCTTCACCTTTGTGTAATACCAGAGAACATTTGCCATAGTAAATTTGTAAGCACTGTCATGGTGCCTAACACATTCCCTTCAGTAAGAGAGGTTCAGTGGGACTGAAGACGGGATTAGCACGTGAGATACATTAAGAATCATTACCATAGTAAGAGTTTCAAAGCCAGGAAAACCTAGGTTTGCATCCTGTTTCTGCCCTTTCTGCATAGGGGAAGAAAATGAATCTCAGAGTGGTTAAGCAGTTTAACCAAGTTAGTTTGGGTAAATTACTTTATCTTTTCCACTGTAAAATGTTCTAATTAATAACTACCTCATACGATTGTTTTAAAGATTATAGATAAAAATGCCTGGTACATATAGACCCAAGCCTATTGCCATCAATTCTGTTCAGACTCATAGCAACCCTACAGGACAGAGTAGAACTGCCCCATAGGGTTTCCCAGGTTGTAATCTACAGAAGCAGACTGCCACATCTTTCTCACACAGAGTGGCTGATGGGTTCAAACTGCCAACCTTTTGGTTAGCAGCCGAGTGCTTAGCTACTCTGCCATCATGTCTCCTTGGCATATAAAGCCATCAGTAAATTGCAGCTATAGTAATAAAACCAAAAAAACCAAACCCATTGCCGTTGAGTTGATTCCAACTCATAGCAACCCTATAGGACAGAGTAGAACTGCCCCCATAAGAGTTTCCAAGGAGCACCTGGTGGATTCGAAATGGTGACTTTTTGGTTTGCAGACATAGCTCTTAACCACTGCGACACCAGGGTTTCTGCTATAGTAGTAGTTATTATTATTGTATGCATTCATTCAGCAAAGACATGTTGAAAACCCACTGTGTCACTATATGCCAGGCACTGTTGTCAGCATTGGACAAACTGGTAACTAAGACTAACCAAGGTCCTTGCTCTCTTGGAGCTTCTATTTTAGTAAGTAAGACAAACAATAAAAAATAAGACTTTCAAATAATGATGAATGCTGTGAAAAACAAAAAATGGGGTGAAGGTAATCAAGAATTGGGAGTGGAAGAGTAGGTAATTTAGCTGTTTGCCAAAGGAAGTGGTAACATTGTAGTAGAGACGTTTTTTAAAAAAAACAAACCTGTTGCCCTCAAGTCGATTCCGACTAATAGCGACCCTATAGCAAAGAGTAGAACTGCCCCCATAGAGTTTCCAAGGAGTGCCTGGTAGATTTGACTGCTGACCCTTTGGTTAGCGGCCAAGCTTTTAACCACTGCGCCACTGGGCCTCCAGTTCAGACATTTAGTAGAGACTTAAATCATGAGAAAGAGCCTGTCGTGAAACAATTTGGGAGAATTCCAGCTGAAGAGTAAAAGGAAAGGGAGAACATAGCTTGGCTAGTGAAAGGGGTCTGCCTGGAGCCTGGTGAACAGGAGGAGAAGGGTCGGGATGAGGTTGCAGAGGGAGGGGAGGGCAGTTCCTGTAGGGCCTTGTAGACCCTGGTACGTACAGTGGGAGGCCACTAGATAGTTCTAGTCAGGGGGTGATGTGAATTCATTTGTTTTTAAAAAGCCATTTGGACTGCCAGTTGGGAGCAGGGAAACCATTTGGCAGGCTCCGACAATAGTTCGGTCAAGAGCTGATGCTGACTTGGATTAGATGGTGGTGTTAAAGATGATGAGAAGTAGAGAAGCTTATTTGATAGGACTTACAGGTCAATTACATATACAGTATGAGAGTGCAAGAAGGAAGGATTCCAGGATGACTGCTGAGTTTTCGTCCTGAGTAACTGCTTGCATGATGGGAGGCTGGAAGACTGGCTTATCTTCTCTGAGATGAGGAGGACCAGGGGGACTGAAAGAGGAGTAGACTTTGTATCAGGAGGGGTTTTGAGCATGTTAAATTTGAGATGCCTATTAGATATCCAGAAACCCTGGTGGTGTAGTGGTCAAGACCTACAGCTGCTAAACAAAAGGTCGGCAGTTAGAATCCACCATGCGCTCCTTGGAAGCTCTGTTGGGCAATTCTGCTCTGTCCTATAGTGTCACTATGAGTCAGAAGCTACTTGATGGCAATGGGTTTGGTTTTTGGGTTTTTATTAGACATCAGAATTTTAAAACCAATTTAGCCATAATACCTATGTTTTTTAGATTTATACTTGTTTTCCCTTCTGTTGTTGCTGCAACTTTTTTTCTTCTTATTACACCTAAACTTTGAAAATCAGAATCTTTGTATCTTGAAGTTGTACTGTTAGATTCTCCCGGCAGATGAATGGTAAATATGGGGCAGTAAAATACAGTCTTGTGAGTTTACTGGCTTAAGCAAGAGTGCACATCTCATACTGGACTCCCAACATGTACTTTCCTACCAACATTATAACAGAATTCAGAAAAGTTCTGTACTTCATCCATCCTGTGCTAACTTGGGATCAAAATAAAGGATTAATGAATATGAAAGCTCTCCCTTGGCAGGAATTTTAAATTATTTTTTGAAGGACTCTGCTGTATTTGCTCAGTATTTTCCAGGGTTTTCCAGACCCCTAAATGCAAAAGGTTTGCAATAAATATTTACTCATTTTGAATTTTGGCTTTGTTTGCTATCTTTCGGGTATGGATTTCACCTTATGCGCTATTTTCTATTCTGGAAAGTTTAGTACCCCTGATGTATTAAGATTGCTGTTATTTAGCCTAAATAATCTTGTTTTGATCCTCTGGATTGCTGGATATAGAGAAAAAAAGAGACTGTTAGGCGATCACATTCAGGATAGATAAGGAAAGAAAACAAAAGTAGGTGCAGGAAATTAAGTTTTAATGATCTTTTCTCAGCTACCTGAAAGGTTAGGGAACAAACCTAGTTTTATACATTACAGTCTTGGCAAATGTAAAATTTTCCTAACTTTGGGTTCTTTTTTCTTTTTTTCCCAGTTATCTATTGTTATGTAACTTAAAGCACCCAAAACTGGCAGCTTAAAACAGCAACCATTTATTATCTCATGGAGTTTCTGAGGGTAGAAATCAGGAGTGGCTTAGCTCGGTGGTTTTGGCTCGGGGTCTCATGATACAGCTCTCAAGCTGTCAGCTGGGGCTGTAGTCATCTGAAGGTTTGACTGAGGCTAGAAGATCCTCTTCTCAAATGGCTCACTCATAGGCTGTTGACAAGAGACCTCATTTCCTCACTGACTGTTGGCAGGAGGCCTCAGTTTCTTTCCTTACCATTTGGGCCTCACCGCGTGGTTACCTGAGTTGCCCTCATGACATGGCAGAGGCCCCAGAGTGAGTGATCTGAGAAAGAGGAGGGAGGCGGGACTGTGCTCTATTAGTGTCCCCAGGGTTTTCTTCCAAGCTGCTGTTGAAACTTCTCCAAGTTTTAATGCTGGTAGTCATTTCTCAAGTGAGAAATTTTTGCATCACAAATATCAAATATATAACCTACTATTCTGTTTATGTTCCTTTCTGCTTACAGAATAATTTTCATTTTAATGCTAAATCATAGTGTAATTTTTTGAAGACATTTTAAATGGCATTTAAACTCAGCATTTGTATTACTAACAGTACACCTAACTCAGTTGAAGTGCCAGCCACTTAAGCGCTTATGACCAAGTGTTCACACAAGCTGGCAATGAGAACACAATAAGACTGCTGCCTGACTGACAGCTATAATAAAGTGTGTCCTAATTTTGGAGGTGTTAGAATGTGGTAAAGGAGCCCTGGTGGTGCAGTGGTTAAAGCGCTTGGCTGCTAACCAGAAGGTTGGCAGTTCGAACCCACCAGCAGCCCTATGGGAGAAAGATGTGATAGTCTGCTTCTGTAAAGATTACAGCCTTGGTAAAAAAAAAAAAAAAAAGAAACAAAAGAGATTACAGCCTTGGAAACCCAATGAGACAGTTCTACTCTGCCTTATAGGGTCGCTATGAGTCAGAATCTAGCCCCAGTCAAACCTTCAGATGACTACAGCCCTGGCTGACAGCTTGATAGCCATATCACGTGACCTTGAGCCAAAACCACCCAGCTAAGCCACTCCTGATTCCTACCCCCAGAAACCCTGTGCGATAATAAATGGTTGCTGTTTTAAGCTGCCAGTTTTGGGTAATTTGGGTTTAGCATATGGAAAAAAGGTTTCTAAGAGTTGAAATATGGCAAAAAATTTTCTCCCCCAATCATGGGTAAGTTCAGTAGATTAGTGTCTTCTGAAGGTGAATTTCTTTCCCCAGGGTTTTGCAAAACCAGAAAATCACAATCTGATGGGGAAGGAAATGTGAATGCTTGGTTTATAACAAAGATAATTATGGAGGTTATTTCCAAAATATTTGGTTTTGGTTGTTTTTTTGTTGTTTGTTTGGTTTGTTTGGTTTCATAAATACAAAGAAAACCCCTTTCTGACTTCTTTTTTTTTTTTTTTTTTCCTTTTAAGGAATAAAGATCATTATAAACCCAGAATCAAAGGCAGTCTTGGCTGGACAGTTTGTGAAATTGTGTTGCCGGGCAACCGGCCATCCTTTTGTACAATATCAATGGTTCAAAATGAATAAAGAGGTAATTTTGTTTAAGTATTTTAATTCCTTTGTAATAAAAAGAGCAAATGATAGAAAATTAATGAGCAGTATTATCCTCAGTGTTTTTAGGAACATTGTTAAAAGATCTGTTAGACTTTGCTAGATTATTACTGAAGTATTCAATAACCATTATGTTGATAATTCCAAAATTGTTTTAACAAGCATTGTACACAATAATGAAATCAGTTCTCAACTCTAAAAATTGTGGAAATTAGGGATTACTTGGAGCAGTAATGTTAGTAGGTATGAAACATCACCTGTACATTCTAATATATCTATAAAAAAATCTTTTGCAACAGATTATGTTCCAACAAAAATCTTTAACCAGAAGATGTTCAAGGCCAAGTGGAAAGCTAACACAATATTATTATTTTAAATATTCCACATAACTGTATCATATCAAAAAATATAGGCCATTGTTGTAGATTCTGAAGTATAATTCTGGTTGACAGAGCAGGGCATTTATTCCTTTTGTGGAAGGATTGTATTCCTACCACAAATAATCTTATTTTTTTTGTTGTAGTTGTAGTTTAAGTGAAAGTTTACATTTCAAGTTAGTCTCTTAGACAAAAATTTATACATACATTGTTATGGACCCTAATTGTTCTCCCTATACTGTGACAGCACATTCCTCCTTTCCACCGCTGATTTCCCATGTCCATTCAACCAGCTCCTAACCTTCTTTGCCTTCTCATCTCACCTCTGGACAGAAGCTGCCTGTTTAAGCTCATGTATCTACTTGAGCTAAGAAGCACACTCTTCACGAGTATCATTTTATGTCCCACAGTCCAGTCCAATCTTTGTCTGAAGAGTTGGCCTCAGAAATTGTTTTAGTTCTGGGCTGATAGAGAGCGTAGGGGCCATGCTTTCCAGGGTTCCTCCAGTCTCAGTCAGACCATTAAGTCTGATCTTTTTACTAGAATTTGAGTTCTACATCCCAACTTCTCCTGCTCCATCAGGGACTCTCTGTTTTGTTCCGTCAGAGCAGTCATTGGTGGTAGCTGGGTACCATCTAGTTCTTCTGGTCTCAGGCTGATGAGGTCTCTGGTTTATGTGGCCCTTTCTGTTTCTTGGGCTAATACTTTCCTTGTATCTTTGATGTTCTTCATTCTCCTTTACTCCAGGTGGTTGGGACCAATTGATACATCTTAGATGGCCACTTGCAAGCTTTTAAGACCCAGATGCCACTCACCAAAGTAGGATGCAGAACATTTTCTTAATAAACTTTGTTATGCCAGTTGACCTAGATGTCCCCTGAAACCATAGTCCCCAGGCCCCCACCCCTGCTACTCTGTCCCTCAAAGTGTCTGATTGTATTCAAGAAACTTCTTAGCTTTGGTTTAGTCCAGTTGTGCTGGCTTCCCCTGTAGTGTGTGCTGTCCTTCCCTTCACCTAAGATAATTCTTGTCTACTACCTAGTTAGTGAATAACCCTCACCCTCCCTCCACACCATCGTAACCATCAAAGAATGTTGTATTCTGTGTTTAAACCTTTTCTTGAGTTCTTACAATAGTGGACCCATACAACATTTGTCCTTCTGTGACTGACTAAATTCACTCAGCATAATGCCCTCCGGATTCCTCTGTGTTATAAGATGCTTCACGGCTTCATCGTTGTTCATCATTGCATAGTATTCCATTGTGTGAATATACCATAACCACAAATAATTTTAAGTCACATCTTAGAATTCTTTTTTTTTTTTTTAAGTTCTTTGAGATTCTTTAGAAGAATCCTGATCAAAAGGGGGAAAATGCAGACAGGATTTTAAATTCTCATGGAATCCAGACTTATTGGACCCATGGAGGATGTATGAACCCCTGAAACTACTGCCATGAGATAATCTTTAAACCTTAAGCCAAAAATATTCCCTGAAGTCTTCTTAAAACCAAACAATAGTTTAGCTTAATGAGTAAAAAATATCTCCCTTGAGCATTGTGCTCTTTTAAGATCTATGTATATGGGATCATATTGAAAACAGCAACTCAAAAGACTAGATAGAAACCTTAGGGGGCAGTTAGTTTATGTTAGTGGGGGAGCAACAACTCAGAAAAGGAGGATGAGAGTGGTTGCACAACTCAAAGAACGTAATCAGTGTCACTGAATTGTACATGTAGAAATTGTTGAATTGGTGTATGTTCTGCTGTGTATATTTTCAACAACAACAAAATATAAAAAGAAAAAGTTTTTTGAACCATCTGCCTCTGGGGATTTCTCGCTGGTTCAGTTGCCTCATTTCATGCGTCTACTTTCTGGGCTTCTATTCCTCATCCATCGCTCCTCGTCCCCTTTCCTCCTAGATTGTGCCTTGAAACTGCACATTCTTTTGAATTTCTTATTCACAACAATTCCACTTTCTCCCAAATTTCATCCCAAGTCTACATTTACAAATCTAAAACTAAGTGTGAAAGGGCCATTCTTAGATCATGATCGTTCCTTTAATAGGATGGCCTTCCTTAGAAGACATTCGTGGTTTTATACAACTACTTGTTTCCTTTCCTCACACCAGGTATGATAGAATGAGCAGCAGTGGAATGTAGTAGAAAGATTGCGTGTGGACTTTGTTGCTAGAGAGGTCTTTCAGAACGCTGACTGTCATCACCAGCCATGTGAATTCCTATCTTCATGCGTTGTTGTGAGAATTAAATACAGAATGTTTTATGTGATGCATCAAATGCCTGGGCTCTCAAGAGTTGGAAGGGAAAGTCATTTTTACCATATTTCTCAATTTCAAAATTACATTCTTTTAAATAAATGCCTTTTGATGGAGAAATAATGGGAAAATCCATGTTAAGTTTATCATTTGTAAAATACATCCTGATTTGAGAAAGGCAGAAATGTAGGGGATGGGGAGTGTTAATACATCTTAGATTTGAAGACTTGTAAAGAGTTTTAAAACTCTAACACATTGAGTTTTGTCAAACCACTCTTACATTCATAGGTCTCTTTTAGGAGATAATAATTTAACAAGTATTTGTTGAGCACCTGTTTTGTGCCAGGCCGTGTTCTAGGGCCATGATGATGAAGCAGTGACTTACAAGGCCCCTGTCGTCCTCGAGTTTACACTCTGCTGGGGAGTCAGTAAGCAAATAAGATCATTTCTGTGAGTTAAGAGCTATGAAGAAAATAAGCAGAGTGACAGAGTAAGTGAGGGAAATGGAGAGTGTTTTAGATAGGATAATCAGAGAGTACGTCCCTGAAGAGGCAACATTTTTACTAAGAACTTAAGAAAAGGAGTCAGCCCTGCCAAGAGCTCCAGAAGGAAATTCTAGGCAAGCACAAAGCCCCTAAGGTCTGACGTGACTACAGCCTTTGAATGAGGGAGAGATTTATGAGTGGAGGTTGAAGAGGAAGCTAGGGGTCGGACAAGGTAGGGCTTTGTAAGCCACTTAAAGGAGTTTGAATTTTTTCTAAGTGAGAAACCACAAAAAGTTATAAGCAGGTTAAGTAACATGATAGGATATATGTTTTTAAAACACAGACTTGCTGCTTGAAGAGAAGTAAGAGGAAAAAAAGGTTATCTAATGTCATACCAAACTAGAAATAGTGGTCATGTGGACTAGGCTGTGTTCCATGGAGATAGAGCCGAGTGAGTAATTCAGTATTTATTTTAGAGATAGAGTTAATCAGCATTTATTTTAGAAATATATGTGGAGCATGAGGAAAAAGGAAGAGATCAAGGATGACCCATAGGTTTTTTACTTGAGCAGCTAGGGCTGTGGTGATGTTATGTACTGAAGTTTTGAAGATGAAAGAGGAATAGATTTAGGGAGAAAAATCAAGAGTTTGGTTTTAGACATGATAAATTTGAAATGCCTACTAGACGTCTAAGTGAGATCCCAGCAAAGCAGTTTGGAGACTTAACATTGAGAGTTTGTATAGTAGATGAGGAGCCAGCGAAGAGACTAAGAAGAATCTGCCAGAGAGATTGGAAGAAGACCAAGAGAGAATGGTATGAAAGCTTAAGAAGGAAGGAGTGAATGGCCAGCTTTTTCAGTGCTGCTGAGAGGTGGTGTAGGGTCAGAGGAGGCTAATTTGGTGTTTTTGTTTGTTTAAGGTAGAAGGTTAAAAAATTGTCATCGAGCCAGTTTCAACTAATAGCAACCCATGTGTGTCAGAGTAGAACTGTGCTCCATAGGGTTTTCAATGGCTGATTTTTTGGAAGTAGATTGCCAGGCCTTTGTTCATAGGTAGAAGATATTAGATGTATTTAAGTGATGCAGCAAGATCAGAGGGGATGGGATCAAGAGTCCAAGTGGTGTTTGTTAGAAAGACACATCTTCCATTTTAACCAGAGTGAGAAGAGGGCAGTTACAAATAGGTACAGACATGGCCGGGTTTGTGATCTGGTGGCAGGGAGAGAGTTTCTGTCCAAAGTCATTGCCCAAAAGAAGAAGGTTTGCAGGAGGTTTCAAGTGAGAGAACATATACATTGATAGACTAAGTAAGAGGAAAGCAAAGTAGGATAACAAAGTAAGGTTACCAGGCAGTGCTGAGTGCAGCCTGTCAGCCCGGTCGTCAGATCTTCAGCAAAATGCTTTTGCCCTGGTGCAGATGCTAAGAGGGTAGACAGTTGAGTTCAGTTGCTTGGGGTTTGGAGAGGTATAGGGGTGAGTTTGTTGAAGTACTCTGCAAAGGAATGAGGCACATGCATAAGCCCTCTCATAGTGTGCCAAAGTTGGCTGGAGCTGATAAATTGATGGTGGAAAATTGTGGAAGAAACCTTATGTGGTGGCAGAAGCCCAGGGGAAAAGCCAGGG